CAAGTAAATCGGCTCGCTCTTTTAAAAATTTCTTGAAAAAATCTAACGTGCATGAACTACTTTGTTTTGCTTTCAGTCTTTCCCATTCACGAGAAGAACTTTTATCTAACTTACTTGAACAAATATATATTATCAAAGTGTCCCAATGCTCGGTGGGCTCTCCTAACTGCTTTAGGCTTGATAAATGTTTAAAAAGATTGTCTGATAAATTTCGAATTTTTATAGCGGACTCGGCCGTTATAATTTCCAACGTGAAAATCGCATTAATATGGTTTTGCACCAACAAATTGGTGTTATTAAATCGCTCGCACAATGTATCCCAAGCTATATCGTAATTATTTGCACTAAATTCTAACGACTGAATCACCTGGGTTGCTGAACCTGATAGTGATGCCCTGAGATAATGAAATTTTTGAATTTTATTTAGCGCCGAATTATCATGAATGAGAGATTCAAAAATATCACGGAAATCTAACCAAGTCTGAAAGGACCCGTCAAATTTTGGCAATTTTATGTCTGGCAGTTTTATTCCATCATTAAAATGCTGTGTCTGATTTCCTGAACTACTCTGACTAACTGACTTATTACTTTGGGTGTCTACCGGTTTCAGTGTTTCATATAGTTGCTTTGCTTTTGATAAAATACAGTAGTATCTATTACAAAATTCTTCGCGTTCGTTTAACTGGCTATCAGGATCATCAATGCCGCATTCAATATCTCCCTGAATATCCTCGAAATTAGTTATTAAGCCATCAAATACTTGCATTCGCTGTTCCAACTCAATAACTACAAAACGTTCTACCGACTCCGATGATAAATTAAGGCTCTCAATAGAATTTACGTATTTTTCGAATAATGTTAATCTAGATTTAAGCGTTCCGCGTTTTTTTATTAGAGATTTTACCTCCTCAGAATCCGACATTGTCAAAATATAATGCAATGAATAAATAAAACACTAAAATAATTCTTTATTTCACCATAAAAAATAAATTGAATTAAATAATTGCAATCAAATATCAAACATTTTTTTTATCAGTAATACTTACTTCTATTTTATTAGGTTCGTTCCAACCCCCCGTTTTCGTATCGTCATGAAACGGTTTCGGAACTGTTAGGATCGATTGCAGGCGCATGCGTTGACCTTGCACGGTTTTATCTTGGTACAGAAACAACGGGTAGTTGGAACGGTTTCATGATCGTTTTTGTAATGACGACAGTTCAAATAAATTTAACCCTAAATTTGTTTGTTTGCAAATTAAAATAGAAGAACATAGGATTAGGATTACAAAATAATATATAAAAAAGGAAAATCGAACACCAACGCTGATTCATTATCAAGAATCTGAAACTGAATCCTTGCAAGCTGATAACATCAAGAATTAGCAAATAGCTGATAATAAATTTTGTACTTTTTTTCACTTGAAAAAATAAAAATGCTACAGTTTTATAATAGTACGGGATACGAGGCCTATTTTATCAAATCATTTTACACCGTCTTGCATTGTTATCATCAGTTAGATAACATGGTACTGAAACGTACTTGTGCAGGGAAATAGATGGGAGTGGGGGATTTCACTGAAAAAAATGTTTCAGAAAATGTCGTCATAAACAAGGAAAATATGTAATTAAACACCGCCTTGCATTTATTTATTGACTTAATTTGTACACAAACAAAATTGGATTAACACATGCAAGACGTTTTCATGGGGGTTTTGGGTCTGTAATATAAGATGGAAATTGTCAATTTTTGAGAGGGGTGAAAAATCATTTTACACCACTCCATTTTTGATTTAGATTAGAGCTTGAATGTAGAATAGCTACTGGATACTGATACAAGACGTCCTGTGGCGGGATAACGAGCTGCAAGACGGATGTCAATGCGTTTTCTCATGAGGAAGTGAGAAATTATTTTACACCACTTCATGCTTATGTCCGCCGGAAGAATATATGTTAAGAAATGGTAATACATAAGTCCAAGACGTTTTTTTGGGGGAAAAAAGTTAATAAATCCGTTTTCTTTTTTAACTGAACTGTTGAGTTATTTACTGAACCGTTCACTGTTCATTCTTTTCTAAATCATACAGATGGAAAAGGACAGTTGACATAGCAGCTCAACAGGGGAGTCTGCTGAATACAGGAATTATAATTTCTGTTTACAATTCCAGACAGATCATTTGTTGTCATTTTTTTGCTGCTTTAAAATCAAATTTCTCAAATTTAGCTAATAATTACAATCCGTTATGTGTTATGGCATATCCACCTTAAAAAAACTTAAATGATTATATGCCGTCAGAAAGAGAACAATTTTCAACCTTTTCTTATTTGATGTCCGTAGAGATATTCAAATATACATAATATTAAGAGAATTTTGCAAAATAGAATTATTCTACGTGGTAAAGAGCAAAAATATTTAAAATTAATGTGCGTAATTTGTAATTTGGAGTAGTATTCACCTTTGTACCTGATGGATTGACCCCCGTCAAAATTAGTCAACTTCATCACCGTCTTGCAGTCCTTTCTTTCTATTTAGAACGTCTTGTATTTTTTTAAATGTTATCAATGTGTTCTGTTTTCCCCATTAGTACCAGTGCAAGACGGTGTAAAATGATTTCTCACTCCTTCATAAGACAATACATTGACCTCCGTCTTGCAGCCCGTTATCCCTCCACAGGACGTCTTGCATCAGTATCCAGTGGCTATTCTACATTCGAGCTTTAATCTAAATCAACATGATGTGGTGTAAAATGATATTTCACCCCTCTGAAAAATTGACAATTTCTATCTAATATTACAACTCCAAAACCTCCATGAAAACGTCTTGCATGTGTTAATTCAATTTTATTTGTGCACAAATTAACTCAATAAATAAATGCAAGACGGTGTATAATTATATATTTTCCTTGTTTATGACAACATTTTCTGAAATATTTTTTTCAGCGAAATCCCCCACTCCCATCTATTTCCCTGCACAAGTGCGTTTTAGCATCATGTTATCTAACTGATGATAACAATGCAAGGCGGTGTAAAATGATTTGATGAAATAGGCCTCGTATCCCGTACTATAAGTTAGATTGGAAATTGGTTGTTTAACAACAACATGAACAACAACAACAGGTGACAAAAATTGAATTACGCATGTCAGTCATGAATCAGTCCACGCGGTTCTTGCTTTCCACTCGGGATCGAAATGACGGTGCTAAAACCAGTTCTCGAACGATCCCAGGTTTGGTTGGAACGCCAACGAAACTGTACGGTAAACGATCATCTCTCGGTTGGAACGCCTTTAACCTATGGCGTATGACCGTGACCGTCCATTGAACGGTTTTTGGCTGGGTTGGAACGAACCTATTAATAACTCCCAGACAATAATCAAACGCATGAACCGTACCACTATGATTGATACTCTGTTTACGGTTAAAAAAGGATAGGATAATGGAACTTACCCCGCATAATAATCGTGTGTGTGTAATTCTCAAAATCGCTTGCTTGCTGCCGCAAATGATTCCGTGCTGCACTGTTTTTTATCGTATTTTTCGTTTAAAATTCGTTTGTTGACGTGAATCTGGCTGTCGAAGGACCATGTAACGTGTTCTGCTGATGTACACAAAAATGATGCGCTGGTTTTGTATTAAATAAACGTGTATTGACAATTGAAAAAATATTATTTTATGCGTGCTCGCGATTTTGCATGTCTAATACCCTCAGAACTAATACCCCATTGAGTTAAATTAATATTTGTTTTTTCAGATGGACTTATGTGGCACCAATGAACGCTCAAAGAAGTCGCGTAGCCCTGACGGCCAACATGGGCAAATTATGGGCAGTGGGAGGCTACGATGGCATCTCGAACCTTGTAACCGTGGAAGTGTACGATCCGAAAAAGAACGAGTGGAAGTATGCCCCCGAGATGATCGCCCACGAGGGTGGCGTAGGTTTAGGGGTGATTTCAGTTCCTTAAATTTATTTATATGTTCTCATTTTATTAATATTGTTAAAGCGCGTATTACATCTGTGTATTTTTCCGTGTATTTCTTCATGTAGTTCAGGGTGTCAACATTATTTTGTTTTTCATAATGCTGATTTATGTTGCGTTTGAAGTTTTTCGGTTGTCACTCTGAACTACATGAATAAATTCACGGAAAAATACACAGATGTCATACGGGCTTAAGATTTGTTCAAATGTGTTATTGCTGAATAGTAAAAATGATAGTTGGTATGGGATCGGAAGTAAAGGTGGGCTTATACAGATACATAACTTAATAATGATAAACCAATGATATCTACGAAAAACACAACACGAGTGTGAATCTAAGTACCATAAGACAATGAAACGAAACCGAATTTTGATTCATTGGATGCTCGCTAGTTACAGACTGGTTTCAACCTTGTCAGCTTTCATCAGTGCAACATAAGCGAAAGCATACAAAATGAACATGGTTGAAGGAGACTATTACGACAAGATAGAAATAAGCTTATTATGCGGCTCGTTATTCGCAGTTGGTGTTACGATTAACATTTTTGGTAGATACTATTGGTTTATATACCGCTACACAATCAAGAAGACGAAATATTTTTTCTTCGCAGTTCTAACAATTTCAATTTTCAATTTCAATTTCAAATAAGCTTTATTGTCTCAATTTTAAAAAAAAATTATTGACAAAGCAGTTTCTAAATTAAAAAATATCAAAATTCAACAAAAATATCAAAAACATTCTCAATCAGCACACTTTTGGAGGGGTTATGCAGATTTTTGTTTACTGGTTTGGCTTTAAATTTTAATTTCTGAATCTCCTCAAACTCCATCTGTTCCTGCTACTCCTTGGTAATAAAATCGCAAGGCCGTGGTGTCCTGGTTTTTGTCCTAAGCATTGGACTTTGTGGCACAGTTAGTTTCAAGTGAGCCAAATTCGGATTTTAATGGAAGGTTGTCAGTTTTGACTGGCTTCGGAACCTTTTTGGTGTATCCCTATGGAATTTATAGATTGCCTAAGCGCAAGCATCTAGCTCGCCCCTTGCAAGGACACACAAAATTTATTTGCGTGTCCTTTCAAGGGGCGAGGTAGACGCTTGCGCTTCATATTCCTAACGATAGATTCACCTTCATGACGCCATTCAGTTGCTTCATCATCAGAGTCTGCACGATCTCTTAGATTAGGCTGCATCCGTTTATCATCATCCAAAAAAAGTATGTTTCCTTCGCTCAATGAACGTCTATTTCTCCGATATGGAGAAATAGGGGCAGCACTCGGGGTAGCATTAGCAAAAGCATCGGAATATTCTTCTTCCAAATCAGAATCAGCGACCTCAGGCGAGAGGGTGCCACGGCACAATGCTAAATTCACAGACATCTTTCAGTCTGGCGAAAAAATTTATTAAACCACTGGAGAATGGAGATCTTACAAAGGGGTACCTTGCCTACAACAGGAAACACTCATCGTAAATAGCTCATTTACTGATTCTTAAAATTGACATAATTTGATGAAGCTAAAACTAATTTTCACTGATTGTCAGTATTCAATTTTTTTTCTACTACCATACATAAAGTACTCACTTTACTTACTATTCAAAAAATGTAAAAGTTCACTTCGCGCATTAGTGCGTAAAGTAATACTTTACACTTAACACTTTACACACTAGTGCGTGGAGTAATATCAGTGACAGATGTCGACAATGTCAATTTAGTTTTTTTTTTAGTAAATTACTTCACGCACTAGTTCACATTAACTATCTTTTTTACTGTTACATACTATTATGTTTTAGAAATATGTTGCTAGTCACAAGATTTAAATAATCTTTGGAATGGATGTGTCAAAAGACTGGAAATTTGCCATTTTGTGGGAGTTTTTTTTGTTCGAAATTCAAACTCTTATTAGTGATAATAAATTGTAACTATTAATTAAACTTATTCAATGACACCTGATTTTGTTGAAATATTTTTAACTGGCATTAGCGGAATTTCCCGACAACGTCATAATGCAAATGCTGGCGCTGACGTGATATGACGCATTTCCTTTTTTTGGTCCTGGTCTACTAAGCTCCTGACGGAGCTAGCGTTGTATGCCGTCGATTTAGCGTATATTTGGCGTTAGGGTGCCGTATTGGAAACCCAAAAATATATATTTAGAATGGATAGTATGATTAACGTCCCCGGAACCACCCGAGACCAGTGACGGCTTGTCCTATGAGGCAGTGCCTCATGACGTTTGGAAATCATATAATCTTCAATTTTTTAATATTATTTAAAATAAAATAATACATAATTATTAGTTATTTATACACCAAGTGAGTTAAATGGATATTTATTCATGAGAAGAAAGTTTAACCCATGAGCCTTAGCGAGTGGGTTACTTTTCTTTGAATGAATAAAACTTTCTAATTCACGTGATGTATACAAAATTTCATCCCTTTTTGTGCAAATTTAAAAAATAAAGTACAAAGAAAAATGCTGAGAGTGAGTTAAATTTTTTTTTTTAAATCACTGAGGTGATAAACGTGTACTTACCTTTATTCTTATGCGTTCAATAATGTAATTTTTAAACGTCAAAATGAGATAAAAAATTGAAACCCGGTTCAGGTAACTACTGGGGCGAGTTCAGAAATAACACACCGGGTGTGAGTGCGATTTTATGGGTGTGACTGAAATGACAATTCTTAGGCGACAACTTTCGTATGAATTTCTGAACGCTTGGTGTGACCAATCGAGCATCTCCTCAAAAATTTCACAAAATCTATTAGGATTACTTTTTTTTGTTGTTCATTTTTTTTAATTTGAAGGAAAAACTAATTCTTATTTGTGTTTTGGGATTATTGAGATTATGGGAGGAGTGCTTGACATTGTTGACATAAAGACACAATCACACCGCAGCCACACCAAAAAATTATGGTGTGACCGGTGCGACACCTGGAGCGCGCCCAAAGTACTTTCTGAACGGCACAGAGTGCGCGCACTCGGTGTGCCTATAGCATTTATGAACGGCTAGTGCGTCGCACCAGTGTCACACTCACACTGAGTGTGTCATTCCTGAACTCGCCCCTGTTCACGCGAAATTGCGCGCTTTTTTTTTAAATCAAGACCATCAAAATATTTATAAAATGGAAAATATTTATCAGGTGTTGTTCAAAAAACTCAAAAATAATTTTTGATTTAAATGTACATTATACATTAAATCTAACAGTGGGATAAGTTGTATAGATGTTATTTTAGTGAAGAAATTTCAAATGCGATGGATGAAGTTGGTGACTAATTATTTTTGTATGGTATATCATAATGATTTTAAATCGATCACATTTTTTGAATGTACGGTGTGCGTATGTCTACTCATCTCATTCTGTTTTATGGAACTCGTAGGTATACATTTTTCGAAGTGGTTTTATTAAAACAGAATAATTATAACCATTTTCAAGGTGTTAATATAAATCGAGTTATTAACTATTTATGTGCTGTGGTATAATACGAGATATCGAGTCTTAAATTTTTTTTAATATTTTCATGAAGTTCCTTTTTTTTTTATTAGGCCAGTTAAGTAGCGTTTTCCTAGCAACGCACATTTTACGCGGCGTAGAACGTAATACGGCCGACGCGACGCAACATCCAATGCGCTGCGTAGAAGTGTTTTCCTAGGATTGTCGGTTGCGTCCCGATCGTCACAATGAGTATATCAAAAAAGATATTAGCTTTGGAAATTTGAGTTATTATTACTAGATGAAATTTTCTAAGAAGAGAATGAGATTGATATATAATAACCACGATTCATGAAAGGACCAAAAATTCAAGTTACAAGGCAGCAATTCCCATTTCTCCTCGATCTTGTGACAAAAGATTTGAGTAAGGAAACATGTAATCGTGTGCGATATCCTATAGGGCATGTCCATGTGACGTCACAAATGAGTTTGACAATCGCCCTGAGGTAAAACAAATCATTTTTTTTACATTGGTGTAGATTAGGCCGGTTATGTTTTATGCGGTTTTCACAGCTTTTTTGCAAATTTTTGTGTTATTTTGTTTTAAAAAAGTTAAAGTAAAGTGTTTATGTTCCAGTCTATGTGGTCTTTTATCCTGAAGTTTGCTAGGTTTTTCTATAATGGATTAAATTCGGGGTTTTTCCAACAAAAATCAAAACCAAGTGTCACAAGAACAAATATATAAGTATATTACTCTATAATTCAATCTATTTTTCAGTCAGATCTTCTCTTTTAACAACATTAATCAATATTTCACTTCTTTCTTGAGCTAACAAATCAAACCTCCCATTGTTATTTAAAATTGATGGAAACCTATGGAAGGATATTGTATCCCTTGCGCTATACTGCCAGAATTAACAACTAAACAAACTCTAGGCATGTCCAAGAAACTTCTAGACCACACAAAAGGTATTTAAGGTTTAAAGTCAACCCCCATTTTCTGAACCTTGTGTTCAAAAATTCCAAAAAAAATATATGTTTTATGGTTATTGATATACTTTAATCCATGTTGGATTTTGCTAGATTTTATTCTTTTTTACAACTTTTTTTTAACATGTGACATCCAAATCTGTCTCTTTCAATACAATTGTTTTATTTATTCACTGTTACCAAGGATTTCGTTTGGTACATGAAGGGTCTGTTCTGGATTTCCGTTCGGTACATAACGGGTGTGTTCCTCCAATGATACAGTATGACAGCAACACAATCTTCTGACTAAAGCTTTAGAATTACTCAAGCCAACACGGCCTTCCTGATGTTGGGGCGACCCCACACCTTTTTTTTTATGACCTGTAAAAAAAACTATTATTTCGCACCTTTGTGCATGAATGCATGTAAACAATCTTAGCCCAAGAGTATTCTCGAGGAACTTGATACAATTTAATCAATACTATTGATAGTCTATAAAAGGAAAAATATAGAAAACTAGAAATTTCATTCGAGAAGGCCCAACTTTGTTTTTAGGGAACTATGCCTATACGTTAAGTTGGGGATCTTGCAAATACTTAGCCGAGCCCAAAGTATATTTTGGGGATCTTATTTTATTCGAGGAAACCCAATTTTATTTTTAGGGAACTATGCCTAAAAATTAAGTTAGGAACTTTCAATTGCTTGGCCCAAAGTTTATTTTGGGGATCTTTTTTTTATTCGAGGAAGCCCAATCTTATTTTTAGGGAACTATGCCTAAAAATCAAGTTAGGGATCTTTCAACAAAACAAAGTTGAGTTTTTTTCAAATAAAATATTTTGGTTCTTCAAAAGTTTAGCACGATCCCCAACAACTAGCGATTGTGTGGTACTGAATTGTTTGTTAGAAAATGCTCTCTCGAAATATGCTAATGAGCCATACGCTTTCCATTTGAAAAAATTGATATAATTCCAAAAATGCGCTGCTACTAACTTTAAATGAGCCTTTAGAGGATATAAAATTCAAAATAAGCTCAAAACAAATTTTCCCATGTTTCAAGGAGCAAAATTAAGCATTTTAACTTATTCATGGCGCTCTAGATTAAAAAGTAAAAATTTAAATAATTTGGAGGTGAAATGTCAAAAAGTGACAAATGAGGTGTCATTGTACTCGTAATGTAGTTTTCTATTAAAATGAGGAAAAATATAACTAGCGTCTCATTTAAAATAAGAAAGTTAGGGTCACTTCCGGTCAAACCGGAAGTGATAGTAAAAAATTAAATACGTCAAATAATGCACATCCGGGTCATAAATAAACACACCAAATTTCATTTGTTTATTTGAAAAAATAAAAAAGTTATAGGGGTGAGCGGGTTTTGAAAAACACCCGGTATGTGAGTAAGTCTCCATAAAAATATCAAAAAACGTGGTTAATGAAACTTCACTGAACGAGCCTATTTTCCACCAAATGCCAGTTAACTGTTTTCTATAGCCACTTTATCACTCGCATCATAAGGTACTGTCTGAACTCGCTTATTATTGAAGTTGTCTATTGCCTGTACGGTGATTTTCTGGCAGCGTTTTTTAACTTCTTTTCGTACTTGCTCGATATCAATGACCTCACTTTGAGGTAGCATATTTGCAAACAGCTGGTCGGTGGCCTGTAAACGGCGCTTTTCACCATACATCAAGACCCGTGAAGCATACCCAGTTGATTTGTTGATGGTGACATTAAAATCATCTTCGATATCAGGCAGTACTCGTGTCCAATTCTTTTCATCTTGATCTTTTAGTACAGCTTGTAGAGCATTTAACAGACTTCTGATGTTAGATTTTTGTTTAACTTGCAATCTTTCTCCAGATGTGAATCACTCAATGTTATCTTTAGCTTGCCAGTTGTTACCAGCGGGCGGTGTTTGATTTATTGCATTTGGGAGCAGTATTTTCACATCATTGCACAATCGCTCGTCCAATCCTGACAA